GCACGTTTATTGTAATATATATATATATATATATATATATATGTGTGTGTGTGTGTGTGTGTGTGTGTGTGTGTGTGTGTGTGTGTATGTGTGTGTGTCTATGTGTTTGTGTGTGTCTGTGTACGAGGGTCATTCAATAAATAAGGTGAATTTTTCGGTATAAGGACTTCTAATACAGATAGAAGCTTACTTTTTTTTATATTTTTCAACGTAGTCTCCCAGCACTGTCACACACTTTTCCAATCTTTGGACTAATGTCTCAGCCAGTCGCTCAAAACACTTTTGATTTCATCGTCACTTTTAAAATTCGTGCCTCTCGTGAACGCTTTCAAGGGATCAAAGTCTGACGGGGCAAGGTCTGGGCTGTAAGGGGGGATAAGGGAGCAGTTCCCAGCCCAGCTCGTTGATGGTCTGCACCGTTTGGGCTGCTGTGTGAAGCTTTGCGTTGTCATGATGCAAGATGACTCCTTCTGACTGATGACCCCTGCGTTTGTTCTTTATGTCTTTCTTGACCTGCCTCAGCAGTTCACAGTAGTTCTTCTGTCAGACTGATTCGATCACTTCAGGAGACCTCACTTCTGTAGGCCTCCCAGGCCTGCCTTCATCCCCAACAGTGCTCCGTCCTTCTTTAAACAATTTAGCCCACTTGTAGACATTTTTTGGCTGAAACATGTGGCACCATACACAGTTGACATTCTCCTATGAATTTCAACTGGTTTGCACCCTTCAGCAACTAAAAACTTGATAACTGACCGCTGTTCAATCTTGGAGCATGCTTCTTGGTCGTCCATCTTTGTTAATCGCCAAATCTCTCAAAGTTTTTTTTTAATCTGCAAAAGCAATTAAATCCATGTGACAAAGAAGTAAAACAAAAAAAAAGAGAAAAGTAAGCTTCTATCTGTATTAGAAGTCCTTATACCGAAAAATTCACCTTATTTATTGAATGACCCTCGTGTATATATATATATATATATATATATATATATATATATATATGTGTGTGTGTGTGTGTGTGTGTGTGTGTGTGTGTGTGTGTGTGTGTGTGTGTGTGTGTGTGTGAATTATAACAAGAATTCTTCAATTTTTAAAATATTAGAATAATTTATGGGACAGAGAAACATTCATCTACCTTTTTCCTTTACCTCATTTTCTTTAAAAATATCTATCAGGAAAGATATCTACCATTCTTTGTCTTTTATTCAATTATTTGTCGACTTCCTTTACTATGAGCATTTTTGTCTTTTATTTAATTCTTCTTTGAATTTCTTAACTATTTTATTTGTCCTTTATTCAATTAATAGTTCGGTTACTTTGCTGTTTCCCTTGTATTTTATTCAATTATATTGTTGATCTGACAAAGGTTTTCTATATGGAAATCAAGTCTTTCATTAATCTAGCAAAAATTGAACAGTACACCAAAGTCACTAAGACTATCCAAGTCAATCTGTAAGTCAGATCCAAGCAATTGCTGGTGGCAAAAAGCTTCAATTAAAGCTACGTACGACCTCCAGACACACTGGTTTCACTTTAATATGATTTAATATTTAATAGAATATGAATTACCGGGAAATATATATATATACGTTCATTCTCACAAAAAACTGGCTAACTTAAATTGTCTCCAGAATTGAGAAGTTTATTTCCATACGTAGTTAGCCGATCTGACAAAATAGCTTCACTACAAGAACATACATATGTACATAAAAAGATAAACATTAAATACAATTAAAACTGCACACGCAATCACGCAATCACGGACCTATAATTATGAAGACATTCGATATCAATATAGTTATATGTATACAGATACATATACAGAGAGAGAAGGAGAGAGAGAGAGAGACCTAGGAAATCATTGTTGCAAATCGACCTTTCTGGCGTAGGACCATCCGAGATGGGACCGAGATTTTCAAGTGCAACCGCCAACATGCAGAGGATCTACGACGTGTTGTTAGGAGGGCTCTAGTCGCTCAGCCGCATCCCCTACCCAATACGCCTCTGCGACTACTGTTCAGGACTCTCAGGAGGGAACTGTGCCATCACAGGGGTGGAGAAAAGGAATAAGGTGAGAGAATGACGATCTGGATGCTGGGGTGCGAGTGGGTGCCGACAATGACACACACGCATATACAATAAATATATATTTTCAAAGAATTAACTACAAGCAAGGCGATAACCCCACTAAGACGCAAGGGCCAAGTGGAAATGAAAGGAAGAGACTTTAGAAAAGAACCAGAAACCCAATACTGAACAGGAAACAAGGGATAATCCTATCCTTCTGTTCAATATAAATTCTATGCTTATTAAATTTTATGTCTAAATTAAATTCGCAATTTATGAAAGAAGATAGTTAAATTCAAGACATGGAATATCTATATTTTTCAATAAAACTTGTTTGATGGAACAACAGTTACCTAATTATAACACACACACAATCACACACACACATGTGGACAGAAGATCAAATATAGTTCAAGTACGGATAGGAATTCGACAAAATGGTAGGATGAAAAACAAGTAGAAAATAGATCTCAATCTAACATGCTGCACTTTATTAAAAATTTGTCAACGATTAAGATAGAAATGATATAAAATGATAAAAAGCAAAGAGTCGTATGTTGTGTTTGGTTATTTGTTATTGGTTAGATACGTGTCACATGTAATGAAGTAACAGATAATATTCAAATATGTGTGAGAATCATTCTGGACTCTAAATTGTGTAAAAGTTTGTAAGACGCATCAGAATGCTTTGAAAAAATTTGGTTGGCTTTGATTTTTCATTAAAAAAGTGCGTATTTTGTATATATCTTCAGTGATTTGTATGTATTAGAAGGAAATAAGTTAGATTCATGAATAATGGATCTGTAGAAGATGGTGATGTGATGTAGTTTTATAAACGCATTTTATAAGTTGGTAATATTACTATAAATATGTTTTCTCTTTAAAGGATTATGTTCTATTTTAATAAGGCTGGCATATATATATATATATATATATATATATATGATAAAATATTGTTTAAAGTTATGCTAAATATATGGGTTAGAGTAATCAATATCTGGAACAGAGCGTGTGTAAATATAAAGATGGACATTGAATTCAACACCCCGAGACAACAGTCTATTTCCTGCTAAACTCAATCGTCAGGCCATGTGTGTTGTGTTTTTGCTCGACTGTTTATATATACAGATCAATGATACATAGTGGTTAGTCTAATGTATTGCATTGTGGGTAGTCTATTGTATTATTCTAACGGTTATGTTGGTGGGTTGTAACTATGTTTTCCAAATTATTCTAGAGTTTATTGAGTGGGATTAATTGTGGATCCGAATGCAGTTTTTTGACTATTTCTAGTGTCGTTAGGTAAACTTTTTAAAACTTTTATTTATTATTTTATTGCTGGCTATTATTACTACGCTTTCTTGTGTTTATCTGTGCGTACCTGGCTTGTTAATTTTTTATTATTTAATTTATTTAGTTTATTTAATTATTTATCTGTATGGATTAATTTATTTTACGCGTTTTTTGTTTATTTATGTTATTTTATTTATTTATAAGTAACGTAGTAAATATATATATATGTGTGTGTGTGTGTGTGTGTGTGTGTGTGTGTGTGTGTGTGTGTGTGTGTGTGCGCGCGTGTGTGTGTGTGTGTGTGCAAGCAATTTTGTATTTGGGCTTCGATCGATTTTCCTGTTTAAATTTTTTATAGTAGATAATTTAATTCTCTTTATAATGATTTTAAGGGAAAATTCATCCAAATTAATTATTTACTGTAAAAGATTTAAAACTGCGAACTGCAAAGACTCAACAGAAAACTCCATATTACAGATTATTATTTATGAATGCATATATACCTTAAGGAACTGTGTACCTGATCGAACCAAATTCATGAATAATTATATTGGACATACAACTACATACCTATGAAGAAAACACGTTTCATCTTTCTGGTCATTGCTCAGTTAGGAGTCATTTAAACACACAACAAGTGAAAACCGACTGGAGAAACTAAAATGGAAACCACATGTAATATGGATTGATTGATTAATTGATTTCTTCTTTATGGTTTATCAACATTTTGCAGGTTATTTAAAGCCAGAAAATATTTTCAGATTTGGGGGCAATAATAATAAATATGGAGGTTCGTTCCCGCAAAACGCAGAGTTTCAAAAGGAGGTATTTTTTTCCATTGACACCGCCTATTATTTCCTCTCCTCTTCAATGATTATTGTTGCAAAAAAACGATAATTAGAATTGTAATAAGAGCAAAGCATATGATGAAAGGGAATGTATACATTTTTTGTTCTTGAGAGTTTACAACAAAAATATTAAACACTATTTATTTATTAGATCGTTTATTTATAAGAATAATTTAAATAGTTAAAACATTCTAAAAGCAAATACTATTAAATCTAATGCAATGCGTCCTTTATCATTTACCAATTCTTAAGGAAATAAGTATGGAAACAATTTTTTATTCAGAAACATTTACTAAAATATTAAAATATGCAAACCAACTATAAGGAAATCCCTATTATTTAGCATTTTATAAAGTTGCAATCAATTGGCATTTAATTTTACCAATCATTCCAATAAACAATCGAATAAATAAATAGCATATAATGTTTTGTCAATTCATAAGAACAAAGAAAATGCAGGAATTCACTTTCATGTGTTTAAGTTTTATTCCAATCGTAATCACCGTTTTATAAAACAATAAACATTGCCGAAGAGTGAAGGTAGTTAAAATAATAGTGATATCAATGAAAAAAAACCCCGTCCATTTGACACTTTTTTGCCGCTACGAATGTCCAAGTTTGCCAATAATTTTTACCGATGCAAGTTCTCCTAATTGACCCATAGCCGGAGAAGAGGTGTCTCCATTCCTTTCCTAAGAATATTTGCACGTAAGTGAATGTAACTCGACTGGAATATGAACTCTGAACTTCGATTTCCAATTCCAAGTTGTTATCCATTACACCTGCCGCTCACCCCAGCTTACAACACTTTGTATTCCCAAGTTGTCACCTATCTAGGTACTGTCCAGGCTCGACGTTGCTTAACTTCGTTGATCTTACGAGAACCGGTGTTTAACATGATATGGCCGTAAGTTCCCATGTAATTACAAGGGCTTTTAGTAATATAATTAATATGTTGACCCTCACCTTACCTTAAGCAAAAGGTTAGGAAGGAAATTCCCATCAGTACTACTGGGTGTCCAGTAAAAAGCGGTAAATTCAAAATTAAATGTATTTAGCTATCATGATCCATGCACAAACTGAACAATCATCGTAGATGTTTGAAACGTTTGACCGAATGTTCAACACAAAGTTGTAAGCGTGGTAACCAAAAGGCAGTAGCTTTGAAGATAGTGTCAACAGGAATTGAATTCCAAGCTTCGGTTTAGTTCCACTTCAATTAACCAATATCGGCGATGCCATGACACAATGTTTTGCAAGTGAATTAGGAGTATTCTCCAGATACAGTAATCTATAATCTGGGCTTTTAGAGGGCCACTGAGATGGATTAATTAGAGCTGATGCATTTTCTCCAAGAACACATTACCAGTTTTTTTTTACTGGGCGCCCTGTAGGGAAAGTGATAACAATTTGTGGACAATAAGCCTATTTTTTGCTGAAAATAACTCTTTTCAAAGAAAGATTTTATAAATTTCAACTGACAGTAAGTTTTTCGGCCGATTAATACCGACTGTTTGCTGTATGGAAAAAGCTATTCTTAACATTGCCATTATCATCAATTCTGCCTGTTTAAGAATATTCTCAAGAAACTCTATTCAGTTGAGGGCATCTAATTCCATTAGAGCTGCGTTTCAAAATGTTACGTTTTCTGTCTTTTTCGAAAATTGACTTATACTGTTTGGATTGGGCGTGGCATCAGTTTTACAGAACACCGCGTTCAATGTCTGGCAACTGCAAACATCTGTGAAACATGAGACAATCTTCGTTAGGTGTGTGTTGAAATCGTGGAAGACGATATGATAGAGAATGACAGGATGGATCGAGATAGAGGAAATAGAAAGTGAATAGGCGCAAGGTAAGAGAGATATTAATAGAGAAAGAAGAAAGATAAGTAAGTAAGTCAGCTTAAAACTAAAAAGAAAAAAGGAAAAAAAACATGAAGTGAATCAGAGAAATAAGGAACAACTGAAGCTTATTTGGCGCCAAAGGGTGTGACTGATTTATATCTATGTTTTTATTTTGTTTATTCTTTTTTTTTTTTTTACTCTTTAATTTGATTTCCCCCCTCGAACTCTTTCTTATCTATTTATTTGTCTATTTTACCCCTTGGCTCATAGTCATGAATCGATAGACTAGCTGCAGAAATAGACGGAAAGTGATTTTTTTCACCTTTGTGTACTTTGTGCTCACGTTTATTTCTCTGTGTATCTGCATGTTTATGGTGTATGTGTGTCAGTGTGTGGATAGTTGACTGGTTGGTCGGTTGACCAGTCGAAAGAGAACGAACCTAATTGTCGAGGAGGAGGAGACTTTTTTTCACTTGGCGAACAGAACTGGTGACGTCAAGCGGGCTTTGGCGGCAACATCAAAACGTGCAATAAATAAAAATATATTTACTCCCTTTCCCACGTGGACTGAATTGAAACCTTTATTCCCAAATTTACTTACACGACCAGACTTACATACCTTCACTACAAGGAAGCACACACACACGTATATACCAGTAATGCACGTACGCACACCCAGAAGTATGGGCATGAATATATATATATATATATATATATATATATATATATATATATATACTCATCAATGTAAATATATGTACATTTATAAAAATTTTCTCTGAAAAAGGAACAAAAGAATCGAGAGTTATCAGCAGTTTAAATCTGTTCTGACGAGGTGTCACATCTATATAACCACGAAATTTCGAAGGAAACATGAGTTAAAGGAAAAAACTTTTTCATATTATATATATATATATATATATATATGTGTGTGTGTGTGTGTGTGTGTGTGTGTGTGTGTGTGTGTGTATAAGAGCTGTCTGCGTGCCATCTGTGGAGTTAGATTCAAGATAGGAAAGTAGATCTAACGTAGATCTGTTTAACAGGTATAATATTGGAGGATTAGATACTTTCCTCATACTGTCTCAATTACGCTGGACTGACCATGTCTTGAGAATGTCTGATGACAGGATACACAATATCATAATGTACAGTCAGTTAGATCAAGGCTACAGGAATGTAGGACGCCCATGGCTCAGATACAAAGACAAGTTGAAGTACAACTTGTCAGCTGTCAATAAACCTCATAACACTCTCGAGTGCTTAGCCTTGGAGCGGGTAGAGTGGAGATCAACGTCTTTTAATGGACAGCATATTCAACCTGCTAGTCTGAATCGTCTTCAAGAAGCGAGAGCAAGATCTAAAAGGTCAGGCAATCTAACAGTGATCTTATCCCACAATCCTCAGTCTTGCTGCATATGCGGCATCCTTTGTAATTTTCTAGCCGGTCTTAAGTTCCACTAAAGATTAATGTACAAAATTGATAACTGAATCAAACGGTTAAGATCCTTATACGTCGAAACCGACGAGAGAGGAGAGTCCATTATATATATATATATATATATATATATATATATATATATATATATATATATATGTGTGTGTGTGTGTGTGTGTGTGTGTGTGTGTGTGTGTGTGTGTGTGTGAAAAGTGTATATAAATATAAATAAATATATATATGTATAATTATTTATATATTATATGCGCGGTACTTATTATAAAGCGCTCAATATCAGAGATAGAGCTAACATATTTGGTTGGATAGATGTGAGTTTGTGACCTGGGTTTCACGCTTTAGCGATCGTCAGCTGACGATCGCTAAAGCGTGAAACCCAGGGTCACAAACTCACATCTATCCAACCAAATATATATATATATATATATTTCTGTTCATGTTTACATAACTTTTGTTATTAAATATCCTACCTTGTGTTAATAGAATCTGCAAAGAAATCTTAAATTTTCTAAGTACCTCTACGTACATTTCTTGTGGATATTCCGATGAATACTAAAGGGTGAAATGCGTCACACGAAAACTTTTACCACTTTGCATTTTTTTTTTTCCAAAAAATTATTCTTGATTTTTTCTTTTAATCCTGTTGACGCCAGAGAAGACAATAAAACCACTAAGGCACAATGGGTTATTGTTTATGGAAGAATTAGAAACAGAAACATTACTAATGAGCGAGAACAATAGAAGAAGAGTAATCAGGAGGAGAGGAGATATTGAGTGACAATGTATTTAAATTTTTGAAGATTAAAATTGGCTGGAAATCATGGAGTTGGAAGAGAGTTCCACAAGCGAGAAGTGCGAGTAAAGAAACTGTTAACATCTAGTCAGCTCGACAATAAATTGATGAGATCTAGACGCTACCTCGCTTAAATTCAAAAAAGTCTAGGTACCATAGCGAAGAGCTCATCTGAACAATTACCATGAATGTTTTTAGTGAAAAGACACAGAGAGGCAACCTTACAGTGGTGGGAAAGTGACTGAAGCCGAGCCGCCATTAATATTGATGATTTCTCTGAGGATTTTATCAAGGTTCTCTAGATAAATAGACGGAGAACCGGACCATATGTGGCAACGAACTTTTAAGCATAGACGAATTGAAGACTTATAGATATGTAAGATAGATTCTGAGGAGAAAAATTGTCTAGCACGAAACAGTAAACTAGCTGACCTAGCAATGGACGTTGATATAGTTTTTCCACTTCAAGTCAGCCGAAAACGTTAGACTGAGAAGGCGAAACGAGTCACTATTATGTTAATGGAAAGCAGAATATGGTCTCTCATACGATTAATTGAGAGAAATTTAGTCTTGAAGCCGTTGAAATTAACGAAGCATACTTTGCCCCAGTTAACAACAGACTGAAGATCGTTTTTGACACTAGCCACTAATCTGTGAATATAAGTCGATCGGACTTACATACATATATGCGTCTGAAGAAGGATATATTCAGCTCCTGAAAATATATTTCAATTGAGCATTGTTGAATGAAAAGTTAATTCTACAAACAGCAATCACTTGCGTTAATGCGAAACTCTTCAATAAAATGAATGGAGCACTCCGACTGCTTGACATTTGTTTACATTTGTAAAAAGAATACGCTAGATTTAGCTGCCTCGTTCTATCCAATGAAGATAGCTCAGTGGGTGAAACTTTGCCTGGCACTAAAACGGTTGGGTTTCAATCCTGCTCTGAGGCATTCGGTTGTCTTGTCGCACTGAAGACTGTCTGCGAATGACATAATACGCACACACACACACACACACACACATATATATATGGATGACATTATTACGCTCTCGGTAATTTCGTCTGTTAAGAGAGAGGGTAATTCTAAACAGCAGCCGTCTTCATTAAATGAATCGAGAACTATGGCTGTATGGCGTTTGTTTACATTCGTAAAAATAATACGCTAGAATTCCCCTTTCTCTCTGCCGTGAGCTAATAGCTCTGGGGTGGAAACTTCGACTGATGCCAAATCGGACGGGTTTCGATTCCGGTTTGAAACAGTCGGATGTCTCGTTGCACTGATAATCTCTGATACAGTAAAACAGGCCTGTATGTGGATGACAGTATATATATATATATATATTAAGAAATGGACAAGGTCCGACAATTTATTTATTAAATGTTTATGTATAAAATAACAACGTTAAACATAAAAATATGTCTTTAATAAATAAATTGTCGGACCTTGTCCATTTCTTAATATATGACGTCATTTGTTTACATTCGATACGCCAGAGCAGTTATGAATGTACGAGATTCATGGAAAATTGGAGTTTATAAGCAGTAAATTCGACCTTGTCTACCGAACGCTTCTTTGTAGCCTAAGCGGTAAGGCACGTCAGCGTATATGACGGTTCCGTATAGGATGCAGGTTCGAATCCTGTCAAAGAACGAAAATTTTCTATGAAAATTTCTCGGACATTCAGGCCGGTAAATGTTATTTAATACTGTTTATCATAAACAGAGCATTTGCTTAAATACTTGTATCTATAAAATAACAACGTTAAACATAAAAATATGTCTTTAATAAATATATATATATATATA